CAGATCAGCCACAAAGGCAAACTTGCAGAGAAAGGAATATGGGAAAAAATCAGTGAAAGTCAAATATAACTCAGCCAGCAATATCTGGTGCTTTTTCCAGCAAAGAGAAAAATATGGGAAAATAAATACCAGTTTAAATAAGATTTAGTCGATAATTAGAACAGGTCCTAAGATACAGAATCTGCTCAATAAATATTTGCTGAATGAATGAATCAATGAAACAAACAGTTTTTGCTAATTCAAAACAAATATGAATAATATTGTTATCCTACAAAAAATCTGTTTCTACTTATTTAAAAAGTTTAGTGATTAACTTTAGTGATTAATAAAATTTGTTCTAAAGAGTAGTTCCATTAGGACATAGAAACATGAAAATGCTGACCATAACTAAAAGAACCCTGTTAAAACCATATTAATTGAGGAATACTACCAACAATCAATAATAATGGAGATAAAGGTTCATGTTTTCATTATTTTTGAAAATCAAGTGTAATATTTAAATTAACAACATAAGCAATGCATTTTAAAAGGAATGTCTTTGCTAAAAGAATAGGCTGAATTCTTCCACTTCAAGAATACTATTCGCCCATAGAGATCTACTATGAGGGTTTATAATTGGCAATTCCTCATCTAGTATCCTATCTACTGATAAAAGAAATTATGATAATATAATGCCCAAAATATTCTATATTTTAAATTATTTACTAATGCAGACTAGACTTTCTTCAAATTAGTTAGAATTAATGACTTTTGCTTATAAAGTCAAGTATCTTTTATTTGAAAAAAAGTTGAAATCTTATGATTGGGTGAAATTAAAAAGTTTGTGCTTAGCTAAACACATTGCAGTTAATTTTTAAAATCATACAGTTTAGCAACAGAAATGGTTGAGTGCCTTTTTTTTTTTTTTTTTTAATACCCCACTCTGGGGAAGACCCATTTGTAGATAAACAACCCGTACCCAGCAGCATTGCATAGCTAATGTCTAATGTGTGGGAGTAGGTTAGAAGCAGCTCAAACTAATGAGGTTAACCCACATAATCTAATCACCCAGACTGAGCACAAAGCAGACAAATAGCATAGAAGCAGGGAGCATTCAATTTATTTCTAAATTATTCCTGGCTTTTGTCTTGCAGACTGTCACCAAGTAGATGGTAGGTGTGCATTACCCAAGGTTTGCAAGTTTCTCTCAACTTTGAGCGTTGCATTTCCCCTCGTTAACTGACTATTGGGCCATAGGCAAGAGGCCTTTTAATTCAACATCAGCACAAAAAATTGTAAAGAGCCACTTCCTGTTGGCTGGGAAGCTCCTTCTCATCCTCCCCCTCATCTAACATCAGTGGGGGTGAATGTGGGAGGCAGCAGCTTACAGAGACCCAAGGACCACACAGCCTCCCTGCCTGCCTTGGGAATGCCTGAGATCCCCAGGCTTCCGGAGGGGCTCAGTGTTCTTGTTGTTATTCACTTCATAATTTTTAAAGATTGATCCTAATCTAAAATCCTTCCAGAAATGACTAGCATGAAGAAGGTTGTTGGGAAAACCAGTTGAACTTGACTGATTAGGGGAAAAAAAACATTTTAATGAAATTTGGGGTAAGATCGTTCTGAAACTATATTTTACTTTTTGTGATATTCAAGGTGGGGTTGGAAAAATCTACTTTTTTTCTAAACCAGAAATAGATGTATTGTTTCATTGTAATATATGTATGCTCATTGTAAAAGCCTTCAAACAATGCAGAAATCTATAGAGAAAAAAACATCATTTTACATCTCAGAGATAGCAACTGTTAGAGTTTTGGTATAAAGCGTTCTAGATTTTTCTATGCCTTTACCAACATTCAGATAATTATAGTATATTTTTAAAAAATAGGATCAGACTACACACGCTATTTAGTAATGTGGCTTTTTACGTAATTTCTATATGAACTGATATTCATTTTCATCATAATTTTAATTGCTTCTCTGTATTCCATTGTATAAACGTACCATTTGTGGTTATTTCCAATTTTTCATGAATAGGAAGGATGTTCTTATACATGTGTCTTTGTATATTGTCTACTTGTTTCTTTGCCATGAATCCTTAAAATGGAATTGTTGTGTAAAAGACTATGTACATATATAAATTTTGATAACAATTGTAAAATTGCTTTCCAAAAAATTGTATCAATTTACCTGCCCACCAATATTGTGAGTGAGTGTCCATGCCTCCACACCCTTGGAAAATGTACAGGTTTAAAAAGAGGTAGTGCTTTAGATGAGACATACTTCTCGTCTATGAGTGTAGGGTCATGGAAAGCTTCATGTGGACGGTGTAGTTGTGTGCATGGTTGCTGAAGAAGGTCGCCATCACATAACCAGAGCATTCATTTGTTTACTAGGTGGTATAACTCAAGTTTCCCTTTTCCATCCTACTGGCATATCTTAAACCCTCCTCTTGCGTTCTCCTTTAGATTGAGGAAGACACGTGGCAGAAATACTACTTGGAAGGAGTCTCAAATGAAATGTACACAGAATATCTCTCCAGTGCCTTCGTGGGTCTGTCCTTCCCTACTGTTTGTGAGTAAGTGACCGTTAACCGTATGCTCTTTGGCTCTCAGGGATATTTAATGTGCCCCTTGCAAGACAGACATCCCACGTCTGCCCAGCACAGTGGGGGCAATTGACAATTACTGAGGGTGTGCTGTGCGCTCAGCCTTGTGTGATGAATGGGAAGGTGGGTCATTACATGGTCCCTGCCTTGGGGATTTCTGCTGGCCCTACGTTTCCCTCTAGTCCTGAGACTCTCAGGCTTGGACCTATCATTTGTACTAAATTATCAACTGCAGTTTTCCTGCTTGTCTTGAATTATGCTCCTGTGATGCAGACACATTTATGAAGGGTGGCGTGAACCCATGTCTCTCTGATTTTACCAGGGCAAAACCAATCTTGCTAACCCCTTGATGAAAGGAATTTTAATGTCTTTCAATTAAATCAGATCATAGAGACATCAGAGAAGCCGCTGTTCAAAGTGTGTTCTCAATTTGCTGAGGAAATGTGGAAGCAAATGTACAGAAGGAGGCCTTGAAGAAGTCCTTAGCAAGTTGGCCCCTGAAATGGACAACCACCATATTACAACAAGAAGAAAGCTTAGCTTCTCCTTCTACTGACTCAGCAGAACAGACCTGAGCAGGGCCAGCCCCAGCCTGTCATGGCCCCTCGAGGTAGAATAGGGATCACCTATTCTACCCTAAGGGGTATAACCTCAGGATCTCCAGGTGTCCTGGACCCCAAGATTCCCCGCTTAGAATCTCAGATGTTGGGTTCAAGTCAAACAGGGGTTTTGTCCCCTGTGAAAACACAAACTCCCTGGGAATGCTAAAACATTAAGCCTGATCCACTGACACCTTAGCAAAGGATTTGATAAGCTCAGTCTCACTGATAAAAACTGGAAAGACACAAGGGAATCTGGGAACCTGTTGGGGTGAGGAAGCAAAGCCGTTCTCTTGTGCTGTCTGCCTGCCTGCAAACCAAACCTGCCTTCTGGAAAGGGAGATCTGAAGAGGATAGTCCCAGGGACTCTCGGGCTCCTCTGTCTCCTAGTTCTCTGTTCTGTCCACAGCGGAGAGGGGCCGAGTGCCTGGTAGCTTGGTGTTTACCTGGAGACTGCTGTCAGCACACAGCAGGTGCACTCTCCTTGTCCCTGGGCCCAGACCCTAAGCAATCCAAAATGGTTTGCCTGTTTACTGAAATTTCTCACCCTGTCTCTAAGCGAAAGTTTAAATGCTAAATGGACTGGAAAAGTGAATAGGTAATTGATTCGGAAGGAATTATTTTCTGAAAATGGATGCCCTTTTGTAACTCCCACGTGTTCTTTTGTTTGAGAGCTATTTCTTTTTCTGCCACGGAAGGAAGTTAACCATTGAGAGACATTGGGTCCTGGAACACTGAGGCTGTCCCAGGGGATCTTCTCCACCTTTGAGTTTGGCCTGCCTGGGATAGAAAGCCCAGGAGAATTCAGGACTTATAATGGAAGGTGGCTTTATAAAAAGGCAATTGAGGCCCCCTATATCTAATGTAGGGACAGTCTGAGGACACGACAGAGCTGCCAATGCCTGGAGAAGTCCTGTGGCATTGGGGGCATTAGCAGGGGAGCGTGCGAAGCCCCCTTCGGCTGTTAATTTTCCCTGGCTTAACCAGTGGTTATGTCTAACATGGGTGCTCCCTCGGAAGCCTGCTTTTCCTCTTATTCTGCTCCTGGGACCCAAGTTTAAGAGTGTTAAGCTGGAGGGTTAGGATTGCTCCCCCTAGGGGCTGCAACTGGGATACCCACAGGGTGAATTTGACTCGCATTTGTCCTGTACAGTATTTAATTTCTTAAAAGTTAGTTGCCGATATTTCAAAAGAGTGGTATTTCACATAAAAACTAGATTTCTGGCCTTTCTTGAAAATCTGATGAGCCAACACAGGATTTGCATTTCTACCGAATGCTCACTGGCTCCAATTTGCTGTAAGGAAGGGTTTAGTGTAGGCCTTCCCCTCCCTGATGTCTTAAATCAGACCAGATTTGCATTTATATCCCAGGCCTGGCCCCTAAACATGTGAGTTTGCCAACTCTGACCTGCTGGGTGGTGTGAAACTTCACTGCCCTTCGGATCCAGCTCAAGAACTGGGCACCAGTGGCTGCTATAAATATTTCCCTTGATTGATTTCCATGTTTAGAACAGTCCCAAGGAGGAGAAAACCGCTCACACACACCTTGTTGTCAGAGAATTTAGTATTTGTTCAGTACAGCTTCTGCAATACAAAAAAACAAAAAAACTTCTGATGTGAGTGAGAATGTGTTCAACTTAGTGCTATTATTCGTTTAACACAATGATACAGTGGAGGTAGAAATAATCAATAAAGAAAGGGCATTTAATGAGATTTAGGAACATCCCAAAACATTGAAGCTCTCCTCAAGCATTTGATTATCTGGAGGCTTAATTATCTGTGTTTTCTACTTTAAATTAAAGAAAAGCCATAACTCAAAGTTACCAGCAGTTTAATGATAACACTCTTCAATTCAGGTTAATTAAAGCACAGCCATAATTAGAGTGTGGTGTTGTATATCACCCGGCTGGCGCATAAGTATTTTCATTACAGTAAGAATTGGCTATTCAATTTCAAGATGACATAAAGGACGCCAAAATATATTTTAAGCTGGTTCATGTAGAAGAAAAAGAATTGGGGAATATTCTGGCTATAATAAAGCACAGATAAAATATACAGATTTTCAGAGCAGTTTCTGTAATTATGTACTGCATTAAAACAATATGAAGCCAATAACATCTTAAAGCATGAAAAGAAATAAATTTGCTCTCCCCCTGAGCTGTCAGAGTGCCCCCTTGCAGGGTGGAATCACCACACTGGGGAGCTTGGAATTTTCTCAGAAGCTGGGAGAGTCATTCTATGAAAAGATAAAGGGGCAGGATAAAGGGGTGAAATTTGAGGTCATTTCCCAAGAGAACAGAAGGGGGCAGAACAGAGGCTAGAGGGGCAGGAGACCCCCCAAGGCAAGCTTTTTAAAAATTTCCAGCAGAGAGATGCTCTCTTGTCCAGGTGAGATTCACGCCGGCTGGACACTCTGCCTTCTCTGCACCAGCCTTTTGGCTTTACCATGTGTATCACCGGAAGATGCAACTTGGTTCCAAAAACAGGAACTAATTTAGGCAAGGTGCAATATCATTTCTAAATATTTCATTTACATTTTCTCATTTAATCCTCACAACAATCCTGTGACGTTTGTATTCATATCACTATCCCTGTTTATAAACGAAGACGCTGAGACTCAGAGGACGTTGCCCCTTCCAAAGTCAATTAGCAGACAAGTTACAGAATCAGGATTCCGATGCCAGGGCCCTGTGCAGTTGGGAGCAGCTTGGAGTAGCTGCTAGATGAAGCTGGCTAATTAAGAATCTCCTAGGGAGCTTATTAAATGGAGAGGTTTCTAGGCACCATTTCCAGATTTTAATATATGGGATAAGGCCTTAAAAAATCTGAATTTTTTACAAGCAAGTCAGGTGATTCTGATTTAAAGTCTGATGACTGGGAACCCCCACTGACCTCATCCCTTCGTACCACAGGCTAGAATAACCTCTTCTTATTCCCCACTTTGGGCTCAGTGACTGGAATGTTTCTCTCTGATTTTAGCCAAGTCATAGAATCATAGGTGGGCCACATCTTGCAGGCTAATGTTAGGATTTGGGCCTCTCTGTGAGCTTGCTCGCCATCATCCCTTCTTCACGTAGGGTATTCTGCAATCTCCAGGAATAAGTCTGCACTCTACCATGCTAAGCAAACCTCTGACTGCTCTCCCCACTCCTCAGGCCTCATCCAGATCAGTATAGGGAAAAGACATGGGGGTACCGAGCCCTTTAATGCTCTCGGCCAGGTTTCCACTAGGGGTCATAAAAGCAGTTTCAGGCTGGGAGAACCCATAAGCGCTAAATGCGGAGAAGTACAGGAGAAACAAGGATGGTTCAGGATGCGACCCTCAAAGATGCCTCTTAACCTTGTTGGAGATCATGGTGGGCATGTCCTGGGCCTTCCCCAGGATACCCCTTTAAGCGCCAGCAACTACTGAACATCTCCCCTTGGTTTTGCATGGCTGGCTTGCCCCTGAGCCTGTGCGGCTATAAGATCAAAGCAGAGGAGCTTTGGGATCTGAAGGAGAGAGTGCCATCCATTGTTCTCTGAACACCAGAAAACCACCTGCTCCCTTTTTCCTCCCATTCCCTTCCTGTCTCAGCAGGTGACTCTGGAGGGTGCAGATGGCTAGTGCGAAGCCTGCAGAAGTGAGGGGCTAGGGTTTGAGGCCGTGTTTGCCACTGTGAGTGGTTCCCATAGTAAGATGCTGTGTGATGTCATGGAATGTGAGCTGTGGAGTCACAAAGGCCTGGGGTCAAACCCCCAGATCAGCCACTTGCTGGATATGCGATTTGGGACAAGATAGTTGATTTCTGCATAGCTCCTTCCTTTCATAGGTACCAGCTGCCTGACCTTGGGCTTGGTGCTTACCTCTAGTTTCCTCATTTCTGAAATAGGAATGGTATTACTTATCTCACAGTACTAGCTAATATCCTTTTCCACTCTCCCCCCCACCCCACCTCTCTGTCCTGACCCATGGAGTATAATGTAAACATCAAGAAAGAAAGAAACACGTTGTGGCATTCCAGGTTATATTTACTCTTACCTTTTAGAAAATTCTGCCATCAGTTACCAGCCAGTCAATCAACTAGATATTTAATGATCTTGGGATATGTATGCCAGTATGCCAGGCATGGTGCCATCTCTAGAGGAACCTGCAATTATATTTGATCAAATATATGCACAATAAGAGATTAAAAACGATACTTATAAATGCCAGGTAAAAGATCTGTTTCCCTACAGCATCTGCCTTCTGAGAGTTTGCAGTCTGGCTAAGGAAAATAATACCCATCCTCAGGGAGAGCTAAGCACCCATTGATAAGTGTTTGATGGATACACACAACTGGAGGACAGATGCTGAGAGTTACAGGGAGACAGAGCTCCTTGTAGGCTGGAGGTGACCAGGAGAGTCTTCCTGGAAGAAATGACATTTGATCTGTGCCTTGTAAGGTGGTTGGATTCAGAGAGGAACTAAAGCGGGAAGAGGGGATTCTAAGTGGTAGGGAATCAGGAGGCTGGGAGCCACACAGTACCACACAGAACTCTCTTAACACTCAGGTCTCTTTGAAAATTTCCAACGAGAGCAAATTGTTTTCCACTTTAAATGGGAGAAGGAGACAAATCAGATTTCTTTTGATATGTGATGTTTTCAGGGGGAAACAGCAATAGTGCTTGAACTAGCAAATGTGAGGATGCACCCCTGCTGCCTCCAGATAGGAGAGTGAAAGCAGAGGGGAGAGGAAGGAGGAGCTGGGGGAATCCACAGGTTCAGAGGTTGGGCTACTGCCAAGAGCAAGAACGCTGTGTTCCAGGTTCTGAATCCCACAGTGATCATATTAGTCAGTCAGTCATCACTTGCAAAATATAAAAGCTTAATTGTATCGGGTTTTACAGCTCAGAGGGAATTAGGACAAAAGATGTGTTTAAAATAAGGTGTGTCTCTCTCTGTCACTTGCATCTGATGGAGCAGTTAAAATTCAGATTTGATGTGGAGTATTAAATGCCTGGGGAAGTTGGGGAACTCGGATCAGATCTTCGCTGTGCTCACGGGCGGGAGTTCTGACCTCAAGCCCGGGTGCAAGCACGGATGCCCCTGCGCTGGGTTAAGAGTGTGGGGCCTAGGGGAGGGGGGGGTTGTTCTCCATTCTCTCATCCACCTGCATTCAAGGCCCCTAAACATTCAGAAAATCATGCTCTCATCCTGTGTTGTTGTGCATGGACAGATCTTTCCAATGAAGCCACTTGAGAAAGCAAAATTTAAGACTAAGTGCTTAGAGAAAGCTGGGTCTCCTGTCCAATGAAAACTACAGCTAGTTGAGCTTGAGTTCTGTGAAATCATTAGTTTTTAGAGAATGACATTCAAATTTGAACATGGAACATAAAGAAGCCGTCACACCCGATTATTATATGATAGATTTATTTAACCAGGCTGCAGAAATGAGCATTTTATGAGAATTTATGGAGAGGCTCAAGTCTCATCTTTAAAAAATATTTTTCCTCAAAAAACTGGCCCTATTCGTCCAATTATTTTGGAGGTATTATAATTAGGACTGAACATATAGGAAAACTAGTAATACAATATGTATGATTATTTCTACTACAGGCACCTAGAAAAGGACCAATAATCCTTCTACATGCTAGTGAATAAACCCAAATCTGTTACCTTCAATCTATTAAAACCCTTAATCGAAGGCTACAGAGGCAGGGGCAGGCCTGGAAGTCTCTATAGGAGGGGTCAAGGAAGCAGTCCAGTTGGAAGTAGGATGGATGCTAGGGGCTCCACTTGCTGCTGGGTATGCATAACAAGCACACAGTTTACATATTATGTTTCTGATTAATAATAATAGCAAAACCTTCTAAAAATGCTTTTATTTACATTTTAGGCAAATGCTAATTGTCCGTATCAAAGACTGTAATTATTTTAAAATTCAGGTGTCTTAGGTGTGCTAGAGGAGATATGGTGAGCGTGTTTGTGTGTGTGTGTGTTTGAGGGTGAGGGTGTTCTAAAGCCTCCCAGTCCACTTCTATCAAAGCCATTGGGAAATGGCGTCTGAACAACATTTTAAATCACTTCCATTTTCTTGGCGCTGAGTTTTACAAATCCCACTGTTTCAAGTTTTCTTTAACTAGATATTTCCATTTCAAGAGCCTATCATTTTAAATCAAAGCTCCTATATGTGAATCTTTTTCATTCTAGCCTCTGGATCCTAAAGATCTGGTTTCCCAAAACATGGTATTTACGTCTGCATCTACCCTGATTACATGCGTCGGTCTGACATTCCCAGGGTCCCTCTTATAACAGAAGCGGGGCCGGTGCTTCGGGATGGGGTTGGGTTTGGGGGGCACGATGAGAGCTGCCTCTTCTGTCCTCACCCACCTCACTCCTGGGTGAGCCATCTTCAGCAGCCCCAAACCACATCTTTGCATACTCCTCCTGAGCACGTTAGGAGGTGCAAACTCTACGACAAGTTTCTATGCTGAATTCGCACCAGCAAGCAATCTTTGTAGTCAAGAGGGCTGATTTAGTGGCAAGAACAATTTATTTCCCTCTGGGTAGGTAGAAACAGTTGGACTCTAATTCTTAAGAGCCTTTGTTCAGGAACATCTGGGTTGAAACTACTGTAGTTAACAGATGATGCTGGCAGTAAAGAAAAAAAAAGGCTTTGTATAATGTCGTTGTCAAATTTGGTAGACCTCTACTTAATAATTATCAAGAAAGCAATCTAACTTGTTATTACAACAGTTTTATTGCAGATTGCTGGTTTAAGACCTTTTTGTGACAACTGGCATTTTTTTTTTTAAAGAAGTCGTTTCTGTTCCCTTGTAATTATTTTTGCAACCAGTGAACACTTTCTGTATTGGACGTATTGGGACATTTTATTTTAGAAATGGAGAAATAAATTCTTGCTAACATAAGACTGATTTCCTCCTGTTTATCACATTGTGAAAGCTTTTTTGCTTCTTTCTTATACCCTACCTCACCCTAAGCCTCCTTTCTCATCCCACCATAGGCCTGTATATGTTTAAACACCCTAGACTGAGTAAAGTCATAAGAATGACTATAGGGATTGGATGAGCAAAGCCCATTTTGCTTTACCAAAAAAAAAGTATCAAATAATGCAAGTAAATATTTAATCTCAGGACATCAATTTTGGGTAGTCTGAAGGCACACTGTTGGGAATGAACCCCTTGTAACAAGATCTGCAGAGGGTCCCAAGGAGAAATTGCTCTCTATATCTTAGAATTGTACTTACATCATTGCATAGTGGATTGACGGCAAAAATTAGATCCACCAGAGCATGTCACTGCTATTATTTCCATCTACACCCTTCTTTTCCAATCTGTCTGCTTCTAACAAACAAGTTAAGATGCATCTTGTTTCAGGATTCTATACTCACTTTCAAGCCTTCTCTGCCTAAACTAGCCTTTCCTAGTTTACCACTTTATCTCTTCTGTATCATTCCAGCAACTCATGAGATTCTGCTGCCCAGTCTTACATACATTTATTTAATCAGCATTTATTGAAAGCTTACTCTCTGCACTTTGCAAAATGCCAGGGAGACAAAGCCGTGTCTTGCACTGAAGAAGCTGAGTATTGAGGGCAGAGAGATGAGTAAACAGGTGATTACCACCCAGCCAACACCCACTCTCCTGTTTATTAGCCTTGACCCGCTCTTCTCCATGGAAGCCCCGACAGAGGCTGTACCTCTCCTGCAGCCTTAAGCACAGCACCCTGACATTGGCCAGCTCTTTGTGACAGAATCTAACAAAAAACTGTGATTTTAACAGGGGGAGAGATAGTTGTGTTTCCAGTATAAATTGTAAATTACTCAAGATTTGTATTTTGCAAACTTCCAGACGATACTCTTTACAGCAGAGATTAAACACTTAGATGCCTGTAGGGGGCAGGCAGTTAGCAACAAAGAATGAAGAGAGAGGAGGTCTGAGACAACAGGCAGTGGTAGGGACTGTGGCACATTGGAGATCACATGTCCCATCCAGAGGTATAAGTGCTTCAAAGCTCCAGTTCCTTTTAGCCGTACAAAATGTCGCTCCAGGATGGCCATACCTGATTTATCAAGGAAAGCTGAAAAGCTAGTTTTTATATGAAATCACCTGTTGGTATCTAATTCCAGTTTTTTAAAAAACACTCTACTGACCAAATGGAACATGTCTGCATGTTGGGCTTCTGGCCCCCACTTCATTTCCTCCCCACTGATGAGAAGCAACTGTGCAGCATACTGCACTGAGTCTTGATTTCCACTTTTGACATTTCTACATACAATTTGTTTAACCTTGAACAAGTTTCTTGATTTCCACTTTTGGTTTTCTCCATAAAGGCCGTTTGACCTTGAGGAAGTCGCTTTCCCCTCTTTGGACCTCAGTTTATCATCTGTATAAGAAGGGCAGGACCAGCCAATCTTGAGGGCTTGAGTCTGAAAATCTGCAGGTGTGGCACTGCTTGCATATAATCACTTTGTTCTTATCACTCTGTCCCTTTTCTCTTTGCTTCTTTGGCTAGTGAGCAAAGGTTTGTTTTAGGCCAAAGCCCTTCTTAAAAAGAAGCTTCTATAAGGCAGTATAGAATCATCTTAGATATGTATTTGAAAGTTATGAGAGAGGACTCAGAGATCTGCTGGTCCACCCCCTGCTAGGTTAAGG